GGACAGAGGCAGATTTTTCAGCTACTCTTCACATGAGCCTTGAAAAATGATTTTATTTTCAAGGAAACGTCTCTCAGAATAGAAGAAACATGAGTGATACATTTAAAAATTAATCTGAGTTAGACCTATGTAAAATTGACTGATTTAAAGCCATTCCAAAGCACACTAGCTTCTAGCTATGTCTAAGGAGCTACCACCAATGCATTCCACTGGAAAAAAAAATTATCTCCTTCTATCAGTAAAAAGCCCTTTTGCAGTATTAATTGACATCAGTATATTAATTGACATCAACCTGTATTTATGGAGTATGCCTAATACATGCTTAATACTTAAACAGGTAGAAGTACCTCAAGCTAATAACCTTCCCCATTTGCTTTTTGTCTGACATCCACACGATCAGCCTTGATGGAAATTACACCATAACTTTAATATTCTTTCTCTGTTTTTGATTCCAGCTGTGAAAGTTCAGGATGAGCTGGAGAATGTAAGCCTACTTTAAAGTACAGGAGAAATCTATTGGCATAAAATAAAAGCTGTACTGTTTATTAGGGTTGTGCAAATAGCCGTTGAACTTAGTTCTCTCGGCATTGCTTTTTTTTTTTTAATGAATACAATTCTTCACACAATTGCCAGATTAAGGCAGAAGGAAACTTTCACAGTCTTTATAATGCTTTCATCAGATAACCAATATAAAATATCTTCCAGAATACTCTGTCTCCTTGGACTTTAGAGTTTGTTCTTGGGAAGTTAGAGATAAATAAAGATGGCGTTAATAAATCTACCTAACATTGTAAATACAGTTTCTGGTTCTTTTTCCCTTTGGGGCAATAGGCCAGGTTTCACCAACAATTCAGATATCCCGGCCTTTCTCAAAAATGTCTTTGCATCAAGAATATTATGGCTTAGCAAATTGTTGGAGAAAATTAGGATTCTTTTTAGTAGTTTTGCTAAAATTAAAAATCAGCTGTCTTCTGGGAAAATCAATAGCATATCTTTGACTGGGTGTTGAATTTGGAATAAAAAGAATCTCATGAAGAGAAAAATGTTTGCCTTCTAAAGAACAAGATTCCAGGGAGAGGAATTAAACCTGACTTTTAGTAGCCATTAACAGACATGGAATAGTTGTGTTTGGGGCAGAGAATGTTTAGAGGGTTTTTTTATTTGTTTTATTGTGTTTGAGGGTTCAGGATATTTATTGCTTTTCCTATACCATCATTTCACCCTTATATTAGTTTGCATAGGCTGCCAGAACAAAGTACCACAGACAGGGGGACTTAAACATCAGAAATTTGATTTTACATAATTCTGGAGACTGGAAGTTCAAGATCAAGGTGTCAGCAGGGTTTGTTTCTCCTGAAGCCTCTCTCCTTGGCTTATGGGTGCTGCCTTCTCCCAGCATCTTCCTGTGTGTCTGTGTCCCAATTTCCCCTTCATATAAGGACACCAGTCATATTGAATTAGGGCCCACCCTAATGACCTCATTTTAACTTAATTACCTCTTTAAAGGCCCTACCTCCAAATACTGTCACATTCTGAGTTACCAGAGATTAGGACTTCAGCATACAAATTTGGGAAAAACATAATTCAGCCATAACAACCCTGGCAGGGTCTTCATGCCAATCTATAAGATTTTTTCTTTGTAATAACCAGTAGGGATTTTTTAAGTGGGGAGGTATTCATGAATTTTTCACAAGACCTGGCTAACTTCTGCATCGACTTTTTTTGGTTGTCCCCTCCTTCAATATGGAAGATTTAAAAAGTCCACTGAGAACTTTGAAAACATTTGGCTTTTTTCTCCTGTATTTCTTTTTGTTTCTCCCAAATGAAAACACGTCTCTGTCCACCTGCATAGTTCAATTAGGAAGACACTCTCCTTGTGTTTGTATGTCAGTGATATGAAAGAGCTGGTCAGTGCCTCTGGTCACTCAGAGACTTTTTAACTGGCAGATACCTTGGAGATCACCTACCATTGGTTGAGCACCCACAGTGTTCCTACAGAGCACCCACAGGGTGGACCTGTTCTCTCATTTACTCCTCACAATAGCCCTGGGAAGTGGGTACTATTATCGACATTATTTTGCAGATAAGGTTATTTTGCATGGAATCGTAGACATGTTTGGTAATTTTTGGAAAGTCCTAGAGCTTATACACTGAAGAACAAGGACTTGAACCCAAATAGCCTCATTCTATAATCTCTTCTTAATACCTCTCCTTAGTCTTGTTGGTAGAGAAGAAGCCTATGTGTAGAGAGCTAACTGTAATTCTGTAATAACTGTAATCCAGTGTAGAGAATCGTCTTAGGACCTCACAGAAGACCTGGGTTCTAGCTTCAGCTCTATTAACTCTTGCTAGCTGATCATGACTTAGTAAAGTAACCTCTTTGAACTTGTATCCCAATTATATAAAATGAGAGAATTGGATTAAAACCACATTCCCAAACTTCTGTGAAATTCATAACAAGATGTACATTTTATTTTGCAGCCCAGTATACACACACACATGCATGCACACTATATAACTGAAATAAGTGTTCATAAAATACTCATTCTTACTCATATGAATGCCCTCTAATATTTTATATTCTGTATTTAAAAATACTGATTGTGACCTACTCAATTGAGTCTGTCAAAAAGCTAAACTAGATAACCCAATTTAGATTCCTGTAACCCTAAAATCCTCTTAACCTTCATGTATTATATTTGGAATCTCTCTTATCTTAAATACACAGTCTTCGTCATCAGAGAAATGCAAATTAAAACCACATAAGATATCGCCTTATACCTGTCAGAATGGCTATCATCAATAAATCAACAAGTGTTGGCAAAGATGTGGAGAAAAGGGAACCCTTGTGCATTGCTTTGGGATTGCAAATTGGTGCAGCCATTGTGGAAAATAGTATGGAGTTTCCTCAAAAAATTAAACATAGAACTACCATATGACCCAGCAATCCTACTTCTGGATGTGCATCCCTATGTTCATTTCAGCATTATTTACAAGAGCCAAGATATAGAAGCAACCTGCGTGCCTGTCGATAGACGACTGGATAAAGAAGAGGTGGTACATATATTCAGTGGAATATTACTCAGCCATAAAAAAGGATGAAATCTTAGCATTTGCGACAACATGGATGGACCTAGAAGGTATTATGCTAAGTGAAGTGAGTCAGACAGAGAAAGACAAATACCATATGATTTCATTTATACATGGAATCTAAAAAACAAAATAAACAAACAAAACAAAACAAAGTCATACATAGATACAGAGAGCAAGCTGACGGTTGCCAGATAGGAGGGTGTATGAGGGGCTAGGTGAAAAAGATGAAGGAATTAAGAAGTAAAAATTGGCAGTTATAAAATAGTCATGGGGGCATAAAGTACAGCATATGGAATATAGTCAATAATATTGAATACCTATATATGGTGTCAGTGGGAACTAGAATTATCAAAGAGATACCTCTTATGTTATATAAATGTCTAACCACTATGCCGTACACCTGAAACTAATATATATTGCATGTCAACTGTAATTAAAAATTGAAAAATTGAAAAAAATACAGTCATCTATTTGAAGCAAATGAATATTACATATTAGAGGGACATCCTTTTTATCTTCAGTCTGAGCTAATTTCATAATAGTAATAATAGTAATAATTACTTCCACTTATTGTGTACTGCTCACATACCAGAGGGTTAATATTGCCATATCTCTTATAGCTCATAGGCTGTAAGTATTATTATCTCTGATTTACAGAGGAGGAGACCAAGGCTCAGATTAAGATTTCTGCTCAAGGCCGCATAGATAGTAAGTGATAGAGCAGAGATTTAAACCAAGGTCATTCTAATTCTAAAGCCCTTACACAGATTTCTTTTAGGGGAGGATATACATAGGATTTAAGACAGAGAAGTAAGGTCTGGAAGCTGCCATAGCTGAACATAATTCCTTCCCTAATGGTGTGCTGTCCCTGGTAGAAATGACTTTGGGGGTGTTAAGCCACCACTGTAGCAGTGATTAACCTCTGTACCTGGGGTGCCCCAACCCAGGTCACCCTCAGACCAATTGAATCAGTCTCTGAGGGTGGGACCCAGGCCTCTGTTTTTGAAAGCTCACAGGTGATTTCAATATGTAGCCAAGGCCGGAAACTTTACTCTGAAGTCTTGATTAGAGAAATTAAAGAGCCTTAAGGGGCTTTTCTATTTTATTTCCTGCTAACAAGATTTAGTAAAATATTGCCGAAGCCTCTTCAACTGCTTTTACAAAGCTGAAACACAAGACTTGCTATTTCTTTGGAGCACATACACAAAAAATTAGGTAACTTCGTATCTGCTCTTCAAAATCAAAGAAAGTAGAGAATGCCAAGGGTAGGTGTTTATGACTGTGATACTTCATAACTCAGATCACATGATTTTGAAAGAGAAATCAGTTGTTGAACTAATCAGAAATGAGAGTGACCAGTAGTCATCGGCCAAGTTGACTGGGGACACTGTAGAAGGCCGAACCAGACTAAAGTAACTATAAATATTACAAGCCATCACATTTTCTTAAAAAGAGCCTCAGTGAAATATCTCCGCTTTTTCACATGGATTATGGTAACTCTGGTAAAACAAGGAACCTCTCTGACATTATTTTCCCAAAGAAACAGGAAGATAACCTTTACTAACTCTCACCACCCTCCCTGATTTTAGATCTGTGTTACTGCGTAGTATGATCTGTTCATTCCGTTTGGAAACATAACTGATCTACACTCAATTCACTCTGTTCCATGTAGGTTTCTCTAAAACAGGGGCTGTATCATATACTGGGAGTGTTTCCATGTCTCAGGAGACAGCATTAATAATGTTAAAACTTTGTGCAATTTTCATATCTACCGTAACAAAAAGAAAATCCTATTTTGAAAGCCCCCAACAAATGGCAAGTACCCAGTACTCTTGCTTAGGGCAAAGTAGATAGAGGCGCTCTGCTTCTGTTCTGTCTTAGTAACAGTGTTCACTGTTTGCTTACAGAATGACGTGACTGCACTTCTGAAACCAATATCAGAAAAGATTCAGGAAATCCAAACTTACAGAGAAAGGAACCGGGGCAGTACAATGTTTAACCATCTCTCAGCCGTCAGTGAAAGCATCCCTGCTCTTGGATGGATAGCTGTGGTGAGTCCAGATGGAGTGTTACCCCCTGCACTCATCACATTTTTGGAGTGTTTAAGAGAATCCATAGCTACTTTCAGGCTCCTTTGTCCTCTGTTACACTGAGGGAAGATTCTGTGCAGGCTGAACGTAGCACCTCTTTTTTACCCTGTTTGAAGTCGAGTGCTTTGTGTTCTAAAATGTGGAAAGCCTTTAATCAATCTTTACAAGGCAAAATGTGCCTCCAACTTTCAAGTCAACATCTCCATTGCTTTTCTTCTTCTTTAAGGCATTTTCTTTCTTATCCTATTTTTTTTTCCCTTGTATGCTTGGGTGATGGTCCCGTTCTCTCAGTCCCCCAAACCCGGTCCTTATGTCAAGGAGATGAATGATGCTGCCACCTTTTACACTAACAGGGTTTTGAAGGACTACAAACACAGGTATGTACCTTCTTTTACTGACCAAATTTTCAGTTGATTGCTTGTTAGACATTTATCTCTAAAATTTAATATAATTCATTACTGATTCCTTTCAAAAGCTGTTAACTACTTTACTATGAACATTAAAGAAATATCTCATCTTTGCAAGTAAAGCAAAGTGCAAAGTGAAATCAGTTATCCAGATAATATGTGTGTTTTAGAAAATCTGCCTTAATTCTCTTGCAATTAATAAACTCTCTCCACTTGAATGCATGTCATCTATTACATATTACCACAATAATGAGAGAGCTCTCTGACAGTTTGTGATAGACCAGCCCTATATGGTCACAAAACTTTTACATTGTCAAAATAGAGTTTGTGAGTGAGCAGAGAGAAGAAAAGAGGAATCTGGAAATGAAGTATATATGAAGAATGGAAATCAGATGAGACAATAAACCAGGCCACTGAGAAGAAAGATTGCATTAAGATGAAATACAATTGGGGTGGACAGAGAGGCATTTATAAGAATAGCGACCATTCAGAGTGCTGTTGGAAGTACAGATGAATCTGAACCAAGGGATTTTGCCTGCCAGAAAAACCGATTAAAAAATCACTGCATTCTACCGTACAAATTATTGATCCTAGAGAGACTTAAACTGGGGTTAGAATAGAAAACAGGACCAAATGGAGAGACTCCAGCGATGACTATCCAGGAAAACATCTCCTAAACTACAGTGCTCCACTCCCTTACTCATTCCACGTTGGCAAAACAGGTCTTGTAGCTTTTAAGAAGGGCAGCTTTAGGAGACATCAGCATGCCTCTTTCCTCTTCTACCTCAAAGGAACTTTGGTTAAAGCAGTTATACCAAGTAAAACTTTCTGCACCCTGAGAACTGTGGGTGAGGCAACTGTCCAATGACAAAACTTTAGATGTTGCCCTGTTGTATTAGATAGAGACTATGGAATTGTGCAATGTGAATGAGAAAATGCATCAGAAATGTGAGACAGCCTACTCTTCTCACATAAAAATAACAGTTCAGGAAAGAATAAATTTAAATTCCAAAACCTGGACGTAAAAATATGTCAGCATGAACATTCACCCATAGGGACTTCCACATCATAAAAGATCTTCTGTACTTAATCTTTTTTTTTCCCCCAAGATATACAGACACACACCTATACATGCCTATTCAGGACCCTGTAGGCCTCTGCCTTTTTACTAGTCACCCTTGGAGGTCATTTTTGTTCTTATCTCAGGTTATCAGCTCCTGTCTTTCCCCCAGTCCCTACTTGAGGGTATGTTGGGGCCATGGGTGTGAGTGATTCTCTCCAGGTGGCAGCATAGCAAGGAGGGTTGAAGTTTTCCACTTTTTTGTACACACATTAAATAGAGTCCAGTATTTGCCCTTTGATGTCAGCTACTGAGTGGAAAATGTACTTCTGGCAGCATCAAGGACAACTCAATTATACTTAATGGACCAGGAAATGCAGCTAGAGGTGTGGACTCATTCACTTTGCTCCCAGTCACCGGTCGAGCTTCCAGGGGTGGTAACCTGACAGAAGCAGAATACTGCACACCGCTCATTTAACACCCATTTATCAGTGCACCCAGTCCAGCTGTGCCTTCACTCTGTGGGCTCAGTGCTGGTCGCAGGTTGTTGCAGTCCTCTGCCACTCATTGCCGCCTACCTGCAGACAGGCCCATGGGTAGAGGAGTTGAGTCAAGCTTCCTTGTGGTTTAAACAAAAGGGCTATGGGCAGTGGAGTCTGCATCTGTGCAGCCCTTACAACTGGGTTGACTGCTTGTTGGGCTCTTTTTCCATAAATGAATAGAGCAAGTTAATTGTTTTGACATTATAGAGGTATGACCTCTCTGAGTCATGATCATTAAAACCACAGGCCCTTACCATAGCTTCAGGGTAAATGAAAACTAAGGATGGGTAGTTGGATCCTGCTCAATGTGTTTTCTCTTAGAGACTGACTTCAGGCTAAAAGACACTCTATTGTTATTCCTTATTATAAGTTGCTATAACTTTCTTCAAGTCAAAATCATACCGTAATACTTAAAAGGAAAATGAATTTCCCTATACATATTTGGACTTCACCACTTGTTAAATTTTTAAATAGAAAGTATAGCCTGACATTTCTATAATGTCTACAGACATATTTGTATATTGTATGAAGATACACATGTGTACATATGTGCATGTATGTATTAAATGACCATGTGTAGAAATACGTGTGTACATTTATTTTGAAATGATTTTAGGGCTCTAATAATGGCTGTTGTATATACTATCTCCTATGTGAAGGACACTGTACTAAGACCCTCAAAAAACTCCACAGGATAAGGAAACTGATATGAGAGACTATGGAGCTACACTTAGCCTTTTGGGTTTTAACTGGGAAAGCGAGAGAGAGTGACAACAAGATTTTTTACAGATTTGATTAATATAATCTCTAAATATAAAAATGTAGAATAAAACCACATTCACATGTTTTCCTCTTTGAGAGGAGGATAATTATGATTTCAATTTCCCTTTTTCACTTTTCTTAAGTGGCATGACTTAATGCAATAGGATCTAAACATGCTGGTGGTGCTTGGAGCTTTTCAAAGACAACAAAATATAATATGTCCAGAGAAAAGTCATTATTGACAAGAACTTTAATAACAGAGATTTCCTTCAGTGATTGTCTTCAGATTAATGACCTGGGTTCATGATTAAATTTTTGTTAACTGAGATTTCATCATTATCTCATTTACTACTACTTCATTCAAAGTAGAAAAAAATGTATCCAAAGGAAATGAAGCTACTTTTCCCTATCATAAGTTTAATATTTTAATAGTTGTCTCAGTCCTGTGTGTTAATTGTTATAAAGGGTAAGCATTTTACTACATTTTGGGTCAGTAGAATTGGGACAAAAATACTGGTAATACCCTGCCTAACCTGCATTTTCATTATAAGTATCAAATCAAGGTAATTTAAGTGAATATCCCGTTAGCGTGCTATCCACTTGTAAGAAATCATTCTTCTTACAACTTCTTCAGTCTAAAATTGTCCAATTTGGTTACACTTTCAGCTGAATAATCCAACCAAATTATTAGAAAACAAACTAAAGAACTGTTTTTCTTGTCAATACCATTCTCCTTCCTGAAAGCACAATGTTCATTTTGCATCAGAAGCAGTACAAAAAGGAATGGTCTCCTCTCCACATTCATCTCCCCATTCGAGGTGACGTGAGGACATGACCTGAATTGGCTTGGTTCTGTGGGATTCCTGTTTGTGGTCCTCTCTGCTCCATATCTGGAGCTCAGGGCATTTAACTTCTCTCAGGAGAGACCTGGACCACTCCTTTCAAGGTTCTCTTTGAAATCAGTTCACAGTGACTGGACTAGAAATATAATTGCTCTAGGGTCATATGGAGCCTTAGTTACTAGATTATTATGTTCCCCATCCCCCAATTTCTAAAAAATTTTATTTTAGGTCCTAAACCCACTCTCTTCCACTCTCTTTTATAACAAAGTGATTTACGCCATGTGGATTGGGTGAAGTCGTATTTGAACATTTGGAGTGAGCTTCAAGCATACATCAAGGAGCATCACACTACAGGCCTTACTTGGAGCAAAACAGTAAGTACCAAACCCTCTTCCACCTGGATAACAAAGTGCCATTAAAATATTTATTCATGGTAGCCTAGTAATGTAGAATTTACCTCATGGAAAACATAATATAAAATATACATGTAGAGACTTTATGAAAATGTCATTCATCACAAGAAAATCTGGAAACTGCCTACATGACATACAGAAAGAAAATAGTTAAGTCATTTATGGTAAGAACACAATGAAACACTCTACAACCAAGAAAAATAACACATGATAATTACATGGGAAATGATCTGCTAGTCTGTTAAGTGATAGAGTACAAAAGTTTATGAGTACTAAAATGACATCTACATTAAGAAACTGTATGATAAAAATTGAAGAATACAGAAAGATTTGAACTTGTTATTAATTTCAAGAAGATAGAGTTATGAATAAAATGTCTTTTTTTATTTTTTTTTTATTTCTCTCGGTGTTTTAAAGTTTATCAAATGACATTTTTGAATACTTAGGCAATTCTAGTCCTGGGTTAAAATCTCAACTTGTAAATGTTCCCACTTTCAGTCCCACGTGAGATGTTGATCTGACCTTCTCTCCTATCTTCCCTTGTCCTACTTCCTCCCAGCACTACCAGACTACTTGTGGAATCCTGAACACATACAATGCTTAGGTCAAAGCAAATCAAATTGTTGTCGTTTCAATATTTGCAAGTTAAATGTGGTTTTAGCCTTTTTTGCAATGTCCCAAACAAATATCATACTGAGTTCCCTGGGGAAGTACCTCTCCCTCTTGTCCAAGACACAGCTTCAAGATCATCTCTCTAGGAAATGTCCATTGATCTCCATCAGCTCCTTATCTAGAACGGATGGCTCCCTTCTATGCCTCCTTCATAACTTGAATGTACCTCAATCATAGCCCTTAGCATACAGAATTATAATTTTTTGTGTACTTTTTGGACTCCATCACTCTACTGGAAACTTATCTCTGTCTCCAGCTCCTAAGGTAATACCTGGCACAGAATAAGTACCCAGTAAATAGTTTGGACTAAATTGTGAGTTAAGGGTCTCTTAAAATTTTTCTTGCCCTTTTAAGATTGTACACTTGTTTGGGAAATGCTTCTCATGGAAAATGCCTTCCATTAGAAATCAATGTTACCTTTTGATGGTCACGGGAGATGTTCTAACTGGAGTAAACACTGAGAAGATCAAGTGACATACTTGTGAGTTCTGTTCAAGGGTAGAACCCCACACTCTCCTGAGAGCCGTACTCCAGCACCTAACCCTCATTCTGAATGCTACTTGTGGAATCCTGAACACAGTAGGTAATAATATCAAGGCAGAGTTTGTGATTTTTCAAGGGAGTGTGGGACTTCTGCATTTGTTTCCAAACATTTGTACAAATGTTAACATTGACCCCCAAAGACTGAAACTTTTTATTTTCTACTTTGCCTATTTTCTCCATAAGGTGAAATGCACAGTGCAAGATAAAATAAGTTGATTATTTTTCTTCTTCCCACGATATTATGATTTCTGACAATAGAGTTCATAAACATTTGGAGGGGTTTAATACAGAGGGTATGTGTGGATGTAGGTAGGTGTTTGTGTAGACTAATTGGAATTATTTTTCATAGATTTCCAGTGAGATGCTCTTTGTGACAGATTAGTTTGCCCTAAAGAATTGTCACACATTTGCCATGGAGCTAGGTCATCATGGGAGAATAGCAAACTAAACATCAAGAGTCCTTGGGTGTCTTATTATTTCATGGTAGATAAATAGAAAAGGAATGAGAATCCATTTGTGGGAAATCATCATGTCAACAAATGCTAGCCTATTAATTCGTTAATGGTGCCCATGGAAAATGAATAAAAAATTACCTTTAAATGGCTTGAATACCTTTAATGCAATGTACAAAGCTGAGTAATTATTTTGAATATAAAAAAGAATTGATTATTAATTATAGAAAAATAAATGCAGTTGTTTTTCTGTGCTCTAGAGTGAATATTTGTATTTTCATTATGTTCATTAGAAATATATGCCTTGTAATAGTGACTTTTAAACTTCTAAGATAATCTATAGTAAGAGATGCATTTTACCCACACATACACCCTACCCACAATACTAAAACAAGTTTCAAAAGACAATACTTTCTCTCATCACATGAAATGCATTCAGCTATTTCCTTTTCTATTTTATTTCATTTTTTATAAAATTCTGGCTGAGACCTAGAAATTGATTTCATGGCCCACTAATCGGTCACATCCCATATTTTGAAAAACATTATAAAACATAAATGGTTTATTTATGTAAATTATAAATGATTTGTAGAGCATGCATTGGGCAGCATTGACATAATAATAATGAGAGTTATTATTTATTGAGTACATGTTATGCTATGGGAAAATTCTATTCAAAATGATAATCATTGTAAAGCAGAGCATCTACTTCACTTTCTGAAGAATAATATGATAAAGAGTAATATGATAAAGTTTTGCCAGATATTAAAAGTGAGGAATGATTATGGTAAGAAAATGTTGTTTTAGAGATAATATCATATGTATAAAATCTTTTGACGAACTTTAAGACATATACATAGAAACCTGTTTCCTGGTATTTTTATCCTCTTCTAAGGTTTGGAGTAAAAAAAAAAAAAACTATGAATTTTTTTTAATTATAGTTTTTACTTTAAAATCTAAATTTCAAATATTTTGAGAATTTTTTTTTTCAAATTGGATTTTGAGATTTGCGCTCTATGGAGTTTTTAGTGACTGAACGGCATGCTGCTCAAGACTGAGTTTCCAAGGGCACATTGCTCTACGAAAGAATTATTCCCCCTGAGTTAGCAGTTGGAACTGTATTTGCCTTCTCCCACCTCCTAACCTTTGCTTTCAGACTGCAGCTGTGGCAGACAACTGTTGCTCTCTTCAGCTGTCACAGTGAAATGTAAAATTTTTGAGGCCAGCGATATTTCAGTGATTGGCGAGAGGGTCTGTGTGTGTGTGTGTGTGTGTCTGTGTGTGTGTGTGTGTCTGTGTGTCTGTGTGTGTGCACGCGTGTACACTAACATGGGGTTGGGAGTGGCATTGGGAGGACAAAGCAGGTGTGGAATAATCCATCCGGAATGTCTTGTTCTCATGGCCAATGGAATCTTCTCGTTTCTGTCATCTTTTCTGCAATACGACTGTGCACTAGAAGGACTACACCAGAAACTTCTTGCAGTTTTGAGTTAGTTTAATTACTGGGAACTCTTTTTCATATTCATTTACATGGTTTCCTCGTTGCTGGGTCTCAAATGCACTTTGTGGAATAAATTGATCTTTTGGCAGGAACCCAATAGAGGCACTGTTTTTTATTATTATCCCTTGCAGTTGGTCAGATTTGTAATATTCATATTACATTCGTGCATTGGTGGTTCCTGAAAATCAGATAACTAAAGCTGAAAGACTAAGGCCTGATCTTCACACTTGTAATTCCAAAATAACTGATTTTTTCTATGAATTGTCTGGATCAGCATTCCAACTATTCTATTCTGTGTGGATCTGGCCATGAAAAGGACATGAAAAGAATTCCATAAATAGGTTAAAATGTGGTTGTTTTCTTAACTTTCTGGTGTTAAACTTGTTGACAGATTTTTGTCTTTCTGAATTACTTTAGCTTTGGAAACAAACCCAGGTATAATTATTTGTAGAGTAGAATAGAACTACACATGTATGGATGTGTATAAAGTTTTATGTAGTGGTGATGTAATTCTTTCTGCTAATAAAGTGGATTTTAAAAATCTACCCTATACATCAACTGTCATCTATCCTATCCTCCACTGAACCTCTGGGAAATACAAATAGTTTGGAATGGTTGCAATTTTAGTCGAGGTGAGGTTTTATTTTTCTCAAAGCAAGACACTTTCAGATCACTTCTTTTCTTCCAAGTAGATGTTTCTTTTCAGCCTATTTCTCAATGTAAAAGCCAAATGTCCCTTAACAAAGTGAAAAGTTAAGTTTGCTTGTGATCAAATTAAAATTCAGCCAGAGGGTATCCTGACATTATAAATAATGTAGACTCTGTAGCATGTCATTAAATATGTATATCTTTAAGTTTTCAAGTCTTCTGGCTGCTCTGGCTTCCTCTTGATTTTATAAGCATAAACTCAAATCTTCTATATCTAAACTTTCATTTAGAACTTTAACCAGAATTAGTTTATGTATTTTTAAAGAAAAAAATATTTAATAATCATTTTTCCTACTTTTTGGCAGAGTATACAAACATTTATTTACAAAAAGTCCAAGGTACATATGGTACAGGTTTTAACACACAATACTTTAAACTTGTTCCAAATCTATGCCTTAGATTTGTTAATCAACGTGAATAGATAGAGCCTGGGATGGTGTAACTTGTCTGAATCGCAAAACTCATCGATCTCTGTGGCTACAGAGAGTGCCTGACCACAGCTATCTTCAGTCTACTTAATTGCTCTTAGGTTTTTAGCTTCTTTGGGGGGCTTTGGGTAGCCAATTCCTTTCATTCTCCTGTGGAAAAGATCTCAGCTGCTCAGGGGGAGTTAGGAATGTCATTGACTAAAAAATGAGCTCTAAATGCACAGATAATAGAGTTAGGTTGGAAATGGCTGTGAGTTCAACCTGAAAGAGACTACGTAATTAAGCACCTACTGTGCCCCAGACTCTGGGCAAGGTGCTGAGAATACAAAGGTGGATGGATATATGGCACAGCAGATGCAGTTCCTGTCCACTGAAATGCATTCTAGCTGAAGAACATATAAACAGCACAACATGATAGAACAGGGTGAGCAGCATGCTGGAGGTAGGTGCAGAGCTAGATGAACAACACAGACCAGGAAAACATGGGGTACACTCAATCCTATAGTGTAGTGTAGTTCTTGGGCCTGCAGCAACCTGGGAACTTGTTACAAATGCAGAATCTCAGGCCCCACCATGGACCTTCTGAATCAGAACCCACATTTTAACAAAATTTTCCCAGGTGATCTATATGCATATTAAAGTTCAAAAAACATTGCT